CGCTCAAACACACTCAGCTTCATCTCATCGTTTTTAGTCATCGTCCAAGCCTCTGAGCCATATGTCAAAACAGGCCGAACAAGGGTCTTGTATATGATCAGCTTGGTCTTCTTTGAGAGGTACCTACTTCTTAAGTGTCGGCCAAGTCCAAAGACACATCTATTGGCAGCCGTGATCCTTCTTTGTATTTCTTGAGCCATGTCATTTTTGCTATTAATTTCAGATCCAAGGTATATAAAGCTTTTCACTCTCTCAAACTTAAAAGAACCTACCTCAAATGGAGAGTTCAGATCCACCTCACCACCAACTCTCATATACTTATTTTTTTTCTCGTTGACTTCTAGACCAAGTGGTCTTGCAGCTGCTTCAAGGCCTATAAACGCTTCTCTGAGAGCCCGTTCAAACCTACCTATTATGTCAATATAATCAGCAAAACCAGGCGATTGAAGATTATATCGTTGGTCTGAATACCGGAGTCTCTTACAGCTTTCTCCTCTGCATCCCCTTGCCTAACCCCACTGCTCACTTTAAACTCTTCGGAGTCGTCAGAACCGACGTGTATTCTACATCTCGTGCTGTCCATGGTCATCTTGATTAGGCGTAGGAGCTTCTGAGGGATGCTTAGCTCCTCCAAGGCACAGTATAGTTGCGTTCTATCAACGCTGTCGTATGCTGCTTTAAAGTCCAGGAATAAATGGTGGGTGACTACCTTACGCTCCATAGTCTTTTCTAGGATCATCCTCAGAGAGAACAGTTGATCAGTGGTTGAGCGTCCTCTTCGAAATCCAGCCTGATATTTCCCCAGTTCTTTTTCAGAATACGGGAGGATCCTCTCAAAAAGAATGTTAGAGAGCAGCGAAAGGAGTGAGATTCCTCGATAGTTAGCGCATTCTGTTTGATCTCCTTTCTTATGTATTGGGCAGATAATGGCTGTTGCCCATTCCGTAGGCATAGTTTCTCTCTCCCAGATGGTCAGCATTAAATCATGCAGAGCTTTCTTGAGTTCTTCACCTCCACATTTCAACAGCTCTGACTGGATTCCGTCCGGGCCTGGCGCCTTTCCATTTTTCAATTTCCTCAGGGCGTTTTCCATTTCCTCCTCATCCGGGGGTTCAATAGAATTAGGGAGTCTTCCATCATTACTCCTACTTCTTCAGGCACCGTTCCTCTGTTTAATGCGTCTTTGAAATGTTGTACTCATCTCCTTAGTACGTCATCTTTGTGGCTTAAAAGAGTTCCATTCGTGTCTTTGCATGCCGTCACTCTGGGCCTGAAAGCTGCCCTACCCTCGTTTATTCTCTGAAAGAACAGCTGACTTTCATTTTGGCCGCGCAATGCCTCTGTGTCCTCCATGTTCTTATTTTCCCAAGCTCTTCTCTTTCCGCGGAATAATCGCTTCTCTTCGCATCTTTTTCTTCGATATGTTTCTTGGGAGAGCCTTGTGGGACGCTGAACCTTCTTTCTGTAGGCTTCATTTTTCACTTTTACTGCTTGAAGGCACTCAGCATCAAACCATGGGGGCCTCCTAGATTTAGTCTCGTAGCTAAGAGATTCTTCTGCTGCCTGTTTCATTGCGTTGGTGCATCTCTTCCACTGTTCATCGACCATAGAGCTGTCATTAATTACTTCTTCATTAAGTTTCGTCTCCACAGCTTGTTGATACAAATATTGGTGGTCTGAGTCCTTAAGTTTAGCTACATCAATCTTCTTCTTTGGTCGTTGGTGTTGGTTTTTAATCAGCGAAATTCGTGATCTGACCTCGGCAATGCTCAAATAGTGATCCGTGTCCATATTTGCACCTCTATAAGATCTTGCATTTATCATGTTGGACTTGTGACGGGCACTAATGAGTACATGGTCTATCTGTGATGTTGTTTGCCCATTTGGAGAGATCCATGTTGCTTTGTGGATATAGGTTTCTACTCCCAGCACATTAAATTGAAATGTGAAAATTTCATCGTTGATCAATCTTTCTGTTTAGTGATTTATCTCAATTTTACTATTATCTTATATTTATTATTACTACATGAGGTCAATGAAAGGAATAGAAAAGATAACATTTTAACAGTACAACCTCCATGTTTTTTGTAACACTGAAGTTGATTTAACTTTTAATGCAAAACTTCTGCCTAGTGAATTCCTCAGTGCATAGAATACAAGGAGAGAATAACTTGCTGTTATATATTATAAGTATACATTTCGATTATTATACACTATTTCTGAGAGGTATTTTTTTGTTGGTACATCATATCGTCCTTATTAAATTGAAAGACAATGTAATTGTAATTGGTCATCATTTTGGGGATTATCATCATTGCTTAATATGCATATGTATGTAATTAGATTTTCCACAACTATATAAGGAAGTATAAGAAATATATAAGAATAGAAATCCTGAAAGTTAATTTTTAAAAATATCAAAAACTTACGTATGGATTGTCATTTAAAATTATGTTATAATTTATGTGACCAATCAAATCCAAAATAACACCTAAAATATGTGCGTATAGTGAGTTTACAAAAAGGTCATCAAATAACATTTCATAAAACCAAATCACTAGCTATTTTTGATGGTGTGGAGATGATTTACCGTTGTTATAATTTGAAAATTTGTTCGGGGGTTCGGTCAATTATATAATACTATATTATATAATAGACCACACCCCCAACCAACTTCTTCTCACACTAACTATTTTGATGAATTTTCGCTCTGTGAAATCACAAGTTTTTTACTTTGAGTATCTTTTTTTTTTATGATAAAAGTGATTGGTATTATTTTGAAAAAATGTTTACAATAAGCCTGTGTTATGCTGAATTTATTTTTTATAAATTAATGGGAATACAGAAAAAATATGGTACAGACTCCTTTTTACCGAATCATTAACATCCGTCTGAAACTTCATAAATAGTTTCATCTCATGATAACCTACAACTATTTGATTTACCAAAACTCTTGGAATTGGGGTGTTTTCAATCTGGAGATGGGCAAACTTTGTCTATTTAATTAGTTACTAAAAACTCGTAAATATCCATTCCCTTTCTACTTGAATTATAAGATCATTTCATCACAAAATTGATTAAAAAAAAAAAGGTGGCCTACAAAAATATTGGGCCGTTTGTCCTATAATTTTGACAATTTGGGGATGTAAGTCACGCCAAGCAGCTCAATATTTTTTATGGCCACCTTTTTTCTCGAATTTTACCACTCTAAATATACCACGGATATATACATATGTATAGTCAAAGGTTCGGCTCTATTTAGGAAATATTTAAAAAAATTATGACTATGCTTGATGTCCCCAGTAGGACAGCTTTCTGACCTTCCTGAATATAATCAGAGAGTCCCAACACTTTGCAAGTTTTTATCGTTTCCTCTGGGACCAATCCGTTGTTCGAAATGATGAAGGGCAACCTTACCTTGTTTTAGGCTATATAGTTGTTTCAATTCCTCACAGAGGCTTTGATATTTTCTCATCTTCTCCAATCACTTTTTGAATATTTTCATCATCAAGAACTCCTATCTCAATTATTGCAACCATTTTTTTCCTTTTTAAGTAGCAACAAAATATCCTGTTTATTGTTTGGTATTATGTGATCTGTGATTATAGATTGTAGTTTCCTTATCAGAGAGAATACAATGTGGGGGAGGGGATATAACAGTGATAAGGCTTTGATCCCTCCGTAAATTTGTAATATTTAGTAAGACTTTGGTGAATTACCTTAGCCAAATTTTTATGTCTTTCTAGATATTTTCTTCCTGCTAATATTGGACAGCTTTTTGTGATATGCTGGTTGGACTCTATTACTACTTTACATAGTGGGCATTTATCACTAACATCGTGTTTAAAAATGTACTTGCGATACGAGTTAGTTACCACAACTTGGTCCTGTATAGCAAGAAAAAAAACTCTGTTTCTGGGAACAGTTTTCTTTTTATAAGCCATTCTACGGAGTCAGAATATCTAATTCCTGTAGAAGTGAGGGCATTGTAAATTCTATCACGAAGTTGCTTACTTCTCCAATCTCTCATTGGTTTGCGCTTTTTTTGCTTTACCTGCGGTTTAATGCAGTTAGATTATTGTTCATAGTCATGGTGGTAGTCATTAATTTTGAATCACTGTGGGAGATATAATTTCTCAGCTGCATTTCCTGTTCTCGGCAGCTTTTGAATAGTCTAATGATTTCTCTTCCACCGTGTTTCCTAGAAAGGTATAGTCTTGGAACTGATGATTTTGGTTGCCTTTTTCTGGTTGCAGGAGTTTGAGCATTATTCAGGAGTTTATTATAACATGTAGCTAGAGCCCTCTGTAAACAACTAAAAATAAAGTGCCTTCCAATTTTTCATCCTCTTTAATGTAAAAGTTACATATCCTCACTTAAATTGGAAATATTCATTGAGTGTATACTCGCTGCTTTTCTTCAGGTGTTTTTAAGCCAAAATGCTTTTTCATTATAAATTTTCGGGTTTTCTCTTATATCGGTCCAATAGGTTCTTTGTTAATTTTATTATTATATGAAACCTGGCCTTTTGATTATATGTTTCTGCTTCAGTATACTTTATTTTCCGATTGGTATAAACAGCTAATTTTTGTTTTAGCATATCGAGGTGTGGGCTTAGCCTCTCAATCATTTCACATTTGTCAATGGAACCAATCAAATCATTCAAGGAAATATAGATAAACTTAAAAAAATTTAATTATTTAGAAATTTTCTAACAGTACTGCAAGTATTGAGCAGTCACGTCATCATATCAGTCACGTTGTTTTGTGCTAATGCTTTAAGTAAATAAATGTCTATTTACAGTTTAAAATTTTTCAACTCCATTCTTTGACATATTCATAACATTTTTTGGTTTCTTGTTTCCATATTCACAGTATTTTCATAACAACAGTACTTATCAAGCAATTGTGCTGATATTTACTTACGCATAAACAACAAATGTGGCATAATTTAAATATATTGAAGCATTCTTTTAATTTTGGCATGTTCAACTGTTCTAGAAATCACCAGGACTTGTCGAGTGCTTGGCGGAGGCAAATTGCATGGTTGAAGATCTCAATGTAGGTTTATCAAGGCTCCCCGTAAATCTGAATGATATAAGGTCAATTCAATTAACATAATAACTATTTGAACAATACATGTCACTTTAAAATGTCTACACACTATGTATTTATACTTATGTACTTGTAACGGATCAGACTGAAGTCTGTGGCCTTTTATTTGTAAGATATAGTTAAAAGACTGAATTGCAGAGCTGAAGTGGCACATTTTTTCAGGGATAAAGTAACATTTTTGAAAATATCTGTTGTTTACCTACAACTAAAGTTTTAATTGCTGAAATATTCTGTTTACATATTGTGCCTTAAGACTTAAATAGGAAAATCAAATTTTATTGAAGGAGTTTTTGATATTTCGAATAATTTTCGTAGTAGTATGTCACCCAAACAGCGCAGTTTTAATGCATCATTATCTATGAATGCATCTGTATTGTAAGATCTTTATAAGAATTCTTGTTTTAACATTTATTTTTTTATGAATTCTGCCAACATGCATGTGCTGGCAGTAGTTTATTTTATATATGTTCTATATTTTTTTATTTTTTTGAGCATCTAATTAATAACTTTGTTATGCCTTAATAGTAGTTTTGAAACTAATGACATGTTTATATATTGTATTTATTGTCTGTAAACCAAAGTAAAAGTCATTTTGTAGAAATGACGGTATGTTTTCATAATACTAGTTATACTATTTGTAGCCAAAAAATCTTTTTAGATTTTCACTGACAGAGATCTATGTTGCCTCATTCATGCGCAACTTTTATTATTTTTCTGTGATTTGGTTAGTTTTTAAAATGTTTGAATTGTAGTGATAGTGTGTAAAGCCACTAGTTTGTTGTTTTCCTATTTTTATATATTAGGTTAGGTTAATGTGTTGTCACAGTTCTCTTATTATATGTTATATAAAATGGGATATATTATTAATACTGTTCACTAGGTTATTTTGTATGCTCTCTAGATTTGTAAATACATTTAAAAAAATACATAGTAGCTCAGAAGTACAAAAATCTTAATTATTATTCTATTATATTAGAATGTGAATTATTCTAGGTCTATTTTTTTTAATATATATATTTTGAAGTGAAAAGTCTGTGATATAATATTTTACTCTCAATTTATACCTCTTAGATCAACAGTGGTTAAATACACTTTTTTTTGTACCATTCCATATTGGTTTGGATTATATATAAAGAATTATTAATCTAGCACAGATTTGTAAATAGTCTGGATTTTGTGATTTCTATGGTAAACATGTGTTAAAAATGTTACAGGTGCATTATTGTGTATTTATTTAATGCCTGTATGTTCCTGCTAAGAACTATACGATTTTATTGTGTATTTTTTAAAAAGTAGGTTACCATTTTCATTATTACTGTTCGTTAGGCAGCTTAAAGAGGAGAATACTGTATAGTGTCATATGATTTTTGATAATAATACAATCTGAATTATTAAAATTGTGAAAGACTGATATTTTTCAATTCTGGATACATAGTTGTGCCTAATCTTTTAAACTAGTGTCTGTCTAGGAATTGAGGTCTAGTCAGCTTGATGAATCTTAGAAGTGTTATTAAATCAGTCAGATAATGTTAAGTTTAATAAAATATTTTATAAAATTTACAAATTTTATTACAGGTGTTAATATCCTAGGGTTTAGTGAGCTAAATATATTAGATATTTGTAAACATACTCTGCAATTCATCATGTACCGTATTTAAAAAAAAAAACCAATGTATATAAATTCGCATGTTTTATTTATTATTTATCTTGCATGTACATTATTTTTCTAAAGTAATCTTTAGAAAAACTCCTATTATCAATTAATTTAATTTAAAAGTGTGTAATGATCAATCTACTTTTGTTACCATTGAATCTATTGTTGTATGCAATTTTCAGCTTAATCTTAAAATATTAATTTGCTAATGAGTAATGTGTGTTTTAAACACTGATTAATTTGAACTATATGTTAATGCCAAGGTTTCTTTGAAAGCTGAATTTAAATGATGGTGTATTTCTTTATATATTTTATTTCTTTGAAATATTGGGTTTGAAAAACTTTTGTATCTTTCCCTAAATTAATATCAAAACATTTATCAGATTGGATTTTTTCCTAATGGATAATTATTTCCACAAAAGAGTAATCTTACCTTTTCTTGTTATGAGAACATATGGTGACCAATGCTTTTATTTGTTATCTATTATCCTCTTTATACAAATTAATATTTTCTATAGTTTCTTAATTCATTTTATGTTAATTAAGAAGAAAAAGTTACTGTTTTGTTAACAGCATTCATTCTTGGAAGTTTCTACTATTACAACGATCCATTACATGTGTACAAAAAATAATAATTATGTTGCCATATTATTTTTAGTTATTTTCTTTTTTGTGATTGTTACCATTGATGCCTATTAATCTAACTAATATTTGTTCCATGTATCATTTTGTTATTTTAATAAATTTTATTTTATTGTTAATCAATGTCTCAATTTTTCAGTGTAAATATTGTTTCTTTGTGCCAGTTCATTGATTGTTATATTTGTCTCTTTTGATTGATGTAAAATAAAAATCAATTTTTCCCCACATTGTTTTAAAATATTTTTCCTTCATTTTAAAGTTTAAATATACACTACAATTTTGATAATTTTGAAAATTTATCATTCGTTTTGAATAAAATTTAAAAAATTGAAAATTTACATTTTATAAGGAATGTGATGCATTACTTTTTTTTTATTATGCTTAATTTTGATGGTTGGACGGTTAAGCCTGGCATACATGTTCCGGTATACTGGTGAGGTTTACCTGTACAGGTAACCGGAGCGTATGTGTGGAGGCAAAACTGCACTCACAGATTTTGCAAGCGGAGAATTGAAGTTTAGTATTTTCCACCTGCGCAGCCATGTAGACCTGAACATGTGTATGAGTCACTCTGGTATACCTGTGCAGTTCTTAAATTAATTAATACAATTTTAATAAAGTAAAGCAATCGCATCATCTTCATGATTGCTCGCCACCTCTCGACTGAGTTAAAATTTTCCGGTTTACCGATGTGTGTGGATGCTTAATCCTGCAGTTATATCTTTACGGTTTACCTGACAGGTATACTGGAACATGCATGCTCGGCCTTAGTAGTAAGTTCACCTGTCTCAAGAAGATTTTGTTTATATTTTCAATTTGTATCCTAGGTATCTTGTACCTAATTTTGAGAAATTTCAAAAAAAAAAAATCTTGGTCATTACAAAGATTCATATTTGAAAATAATAAAAATAAAAATAAATTCTACCATCCTCAATACAATCAATAAAACTAGACAGTGATTGATAATAGTACTTAATTTTATTTAAGTAGTTTTCTAGAGAAAGACTGCCGTCAAAGTTTAAATACAATTTAAAAGACATGGGGAATAAAGTAATATATTACAGTTTCATACATGAATATTACAAAGTTTACATTTTCACATTAGATAATTTTTTACATGGAAAAAAATAAGATGGAATTTGTTTGCACAATTACATTGTGGTTTTGAAGTTCTTTTAAAGATAAATAATTTTGTAAAATTAATTGAAAGAATGTCTGTAATAATTATCTCCACAGGTTATAACTCAAAAGGTAGGGACCATTAGTTAACCCTTGGCTGAATAGAGGAAGGTGACCAAGTTGATTTTGCACTGACTCATGACTCTTTAGCTTGGCTATTGATACATTCACCGAAAATCACTGAACCACGAAATTCCCTTCGTTTCATCCTCAAGTCCAAGAAGATTTACACTTTTTGTCAGGACATACTTCTACGCCTTACTGCATTTGCCATGAATCAGTGAAATGTGTTTTCATGACAAAATAAATCATCAAAAAACTCTTTTTAGGAAAATTTTTGGTTTTTTAAAAAAAAAAAGGAGGAAAAAATAATTTATTAATCAATAAAAGTGGTGAGTGCTAAACCAAAAGCTGAATGAGAAATAGGCTACAGTACGAACGGATCCAGGATTTAATTTTGAATGGAGGTTTCAGCCCGAAAGCATTTTTTTATATATACATTATGATAATTACTTTGGAAGAAAAAGCAAGAATCTAATTATCTATATGAAATTAGATGAACATTACTTTTAGAGATAATTTTTTTCAAAAAACATGGTTATATTTTACCATTTTTGGAAGGGAAGGTCTTCAGCCCTCCCCTATAGATCCGCCACTGAGCCACAGTGTAATGACTTAAATAAGATTTCAGCTACCTAAGACCATATCATTCTCACAACAGATTCTGATTTCCATAATTTTTATATAGACAACTAAAATTTTTTTTTCTTAGCAGCTGGTAGCCTGGGGACCACGGGAGGGCCTTTCGGGCTGAAACCTCCCCCTCTCCCCCCCCCCCCAAATGGTAAAATATAACCATGTTTTAAGAAAAAAAATATTAAAAAATTATCTCTTAAAGTATTATTGTTCGTGTAATTACATTTAGAAGGACTTGAGGAATCATTTAAACACCATTTCATGTAAATAGTTAGTTTCTTTCTTTTTTTCCTAAGAAAATATCGTCATTTTTATGAGAAAAAAAAACTTTCGGACTGAAGCCCCTCCCCAAAATTAAATCCTGGATCCGCTAGTGCTGGGGACAATATATTTGCCCGTTATCTGAGAATCAATCAGAAACTGTTGTTACAGTCATTGAAGCTGGAAAGAGGAAGACATAACTGCAGATTTAGAGTTATTACCAGGTTATTCTAATCCTTTGTTCTGTAATGTATTAGAAATATGTTCTTCTATCCTTCGAAAATGTTTTAAATTCAGGAATAAATAAATTATCCAATTATTTAATTCTACTTAAAATTCAAATGAAATGTTATGACGATATCACAATCGCTCCTCTATCCTGAATCACTAAGTTTATTGTAAATGAAAATAAAATTGTACAATGAAGGATAAGGAAAATCAAATTAACTATATATTTTTAGAAAGTTTATTTACAAAAAATTTAATAATGCTTATATTTATTTTTTTAGATAAACTAGAAAAGTAAAAAATTAAAAAAAAATCATTCTAAATATACAATATAACTAATTTATTCAAATTCTGCTGGTAAATAAACAGTGCAAATATTTTTTGTACCTTGTATAGTAGAAAGATGACTGATTGATCCATTGTAACAATATACAAAGAAAATGCCTATAGCTTGAAATTAGTTATTTTGACCAATAAGTAAAAATAATTTATTTCTTCTCAAGTTTTAATTTTTACAAAGTTACCTGGTAAGCCGGCCCCGGCGGTTCCACCCGCAAGATTTGTAGAGACCACGTTACGTCCCACACCTGCAACACTTCCAGTTCCACCATTTACAGAACTCTGTGCAACTGAAAATGGTTTTGAAGGTAACTTGATTTGGTACTGTTTTCTTTTATGTTCACCATTTTTAGGTTTATCATTTTTTTTGTTAGTCTTGGATGTTTTCTTTTTCTTAGATGACTTGTTTTTTTTCCCTTCCTTACCCTTTTTTGTTTTATTTTTGTTTCCTTTTTTAGATTTGTTCTTTCCTTCCTTAGTTTTTTTCTGTTTTCCTTTTTTAGATTTATTTTTCGAATTTTTATTCTTTCCCTTTTTTTGCTGGTTCGTTTTACCTTTTTTAGATTTATTCTTCTTCCCTTTTTTAGGTTTCTTATTTTTCCCATTTTTTGGTTTCTTATTTTTCCCTTTTTGCGGATTGTTTTTCTTTCCTTTTTTCTTCTTTCCCTTCTTAGGCTTTTTATTCTCTTTTTTTGGTTTGTTCTTATTCCCCTCCTTTGGCTTCTTATTTTTTCCTTTTTTGGGCTTGTTTTTCTTTTCCTTCTTAGGCTTTTTATTTTTTCCTTTTTTGGGTTTGTTCTTATCTCCCTTCTTAGGTTTCTTATTTTTTCCTTTTTTAGGTTTGTTCTTATTTCCCTTCTTAGGCTTATTATTTTTACCTTTCTTGGGTTTGTTCTTATTCCCCTTTGACTTTTTATTTTTTCCTCCTTTTTTAGATTTGTTCTTATTCCCCTTCTTTGGTTTATTTTTTCCTTTTTTAGGCTTGTTTTTCTTTTCCTTCTTAGGATTTTTATTTTTTCCTTTTTTGGGTTTGTTCTTATCTCCCTTCTTAGGTTTCTTATTATTTCCTTTTTTAGGTTTGTTCTTATTTCCCTTCTTAGGCTTATTGTTTTTACCTTTCTTGGGTTTGTTCTTATTTCCCTTCATAGACTTATTACTTTTCTCCTTTTTAGGTTTGTTTTTCTTTCCCTTTTTAGGTTTATTCTTTCCTCCTTTTTTGGGTTTATTCTTTCCCTCTTTTTTGGAGTTATTCTTTCCACCTTTTTTAGGTTTATTCTTTCCACCTTTTTTAGGTTTATTCTTTCCTCCTTTTTCAGGTTTATTCTTTCCCTCCTTTTTTAGGTTTATTCTTTCCTCCTTTTTTAGGTTTATTCTTTCCTCCTTTTTTGGGTTTATTCTTTCCTCCTTTTTTTGATTTATTCTTTCCTCCTTTTTTAGGTTTATTCTTTCCTCCTTTTTCAGGTTTATTCTTTCCTCCTTTTTTAGGTTTATTCTTTCCTCCTTTTTTGGGTTTATTCTTTCCTCCTTTTTTAGATTTGTCTTTGTTCCCCTTCTTAGGTTTATTCTTTCCTCCCTTTTTAGGTTTATCCTTGTTCCCCTTCTTAGGTTTACTCTTTCCTCCCTTTTTCGGTTTATCCTTGTTCCCCTTCTTAGGTTTACTCTTTCCTCCCTTTTTAGGTTTATTCTTGTTCCCCTTCTTAGGTTTACTCTTTCCTCCCTTTTTGGGTTTATTCTTTCCTTCCTTTTTAGGTTTATTTTTTTCTCCCTTTTTAGGTTTTTTCTTGTTCCCCTTCTTAGGTTTATTCTTTCCTCCTTTCTTAGATTTGTCCTTGTTTCTCTTCTTGGGCTTATTCGTTCCACCTTTTTTAGATTTGTCCTTGTTTCCCTTCTTAGGTTTATTCTTTCCTCCCTTTTTAGGTTTATCCTTGTTCCCCTTCTTAGGTTTATTCTTTCCTCCCTTTTTAGGTTTATTCTTTCCTCCCTTTTTAGGTTTATTCTTTCCTCCCTTCTTAGGTTTATTCTTTCCTCCCTTTTTAGGTTTGTCTTTGTTCCCCTTCTTAGGTTTACTCTTTCCTCCTTTCTTAGATTTGTCCTTGTTTCCCTTCTTAGGCTTATTTTTTCCTCCTTTTTTAGGTTTGTCCTTGTTCCCCTTCTTAGGTTTGTCCTTGTTCCCCTTCTTAGGTTTATTCTTTCCTCCTTTTTTAGGTTTATTCTTTCCTCCTTTTTTGGATTTGTCCTTGTTTCCGTTCTTAGGTTTATTCTTTCCTCCCTTTTTAGATTTGTCCTTGTTCACCTTCTTAGGTTTATTCTTTCCTCCCTTTTTAGGTTTATTCTTTCCTCCATTTTTAGACTTGTCCTTGTTTCCGTTCTTAGGTTTATTCTTTCCTCCCTTTTTAGATTTGTCCTTGTTCCCCTTCTTAGGTTTATTTTTTCCTCCTTTTTTAGATTTGTCCTTGTTTCCATTCTTAGGTTTATTCTTTCCTCCGTTTTTAGATTTGTCCTTGTTCCCCTTCTTAGGTTTATT